CAATGAAGGGTTGGAGTTTATGGCAATTAGATGTGAATAATGCTTTTTTGCATGGTTACCTAAATGAGGAAGTGTTCATGAAGCCACCACAAGGATACTCAGGTTTTAAGGAAGGACAAGTGTGCAAACTTGTCAAGAGTTTATATGGGTTGAAGCAGGCATCTCGAGAGTGGAATTCAGAGTTATGCAGGAAACTACTAGCTTTTGGCCTACAACAATCATCTCAGGACCATTGCCTATTCACACAACATGTTAATGGGGAATTCTTGGCATTGCTTGTATATGTGGATGATGTGCTTCTCACAGGATCTTCCCATCCTCATGAGTTCACTAAAAGAGTTTTTGCACAAAGAGTTCACCATTAAGGATCTGGGAGATGCCAAGTACTTCTTAGGCATTGAAATTACAAGGGATGCTGATGGCATTGGGCTTTGTCAACAGAAATACATCAAAGATTTGGTTGCTAGATCTTGGGTTGCTTGACTGCAAAGAACCACAGACACCCCTTCCACATGGACTGAAATTCTCCAGCTTTGATGGCAACCCAATGGATGAGCCAGATCAATACAGGAGGATTATTGGCAGACTACTATATCTTAACCTTACTCGACCTGACATCAGCTATGCAATACAACAGCTTAGTCAATTTGTTACAAATCCTTTTACAAATCACATGACAGCTGCTCTTCATGTTGTCAAATACCTTAAGGGAACATCATCTCTTGGACTTTTTTATGCTAAAGGTGGGAATTTTGATCTCAGTTCCTACTGTGATGCTGACTGGGCCGCATGCAAGGACACGAGGCGCTCTATTACTGGCTACTGTGTGTTCATGGGACCAAACTTGATTTCTTGGAAAAGCAAAAAACAGACCACCGTATCTCGCTCTTCGGCCGAGGCTGAGTACAGGGCAATGGCAGCCACCGTCTGTGAGTTGCAATGGATTTATGCTGTCACTAATGTTCTTCTTCTTGCTCCAAGTTTACCTATCACAATGTGGTGCGATAATCGAGCTGCAATGCACATCACAGCCAATCCCGTATTCCATGAACGTACCAAGCACCTCGAAATTGACTGTCACGTTGTTCGCAACAAGTTCAAGGAGGGTTTCGTGAGCCGCGCTATGTACCTACCCAGGCCCAATTTGCAGATGTTCTCACTAAGATTCTCCCTGCTGCGCATTTTGGTTCTCTGGTCTTCAAGTTGGGCATGGTGTTTGTCAACCCTGCTCCAACTTGACGGGAAGGGGGGGGGGGTGAAGAATATGTGTTTTTTATTTCTGTTTCCTGTGCAAAATTGTGTTGTGATTTCTCGTTTCTTTTAGTTGCATCTTTACTACTTCAAACGGTGTCGTATTGTGATTGTAATTTTTCGAATTTGAGCGGGCTACTTAAGTGAACCGCGTCTTCAATGAAATTGAGTTTTTGGGGCAAATTAACAGAATTATCAGATATTTTCATTTTCTACAAAATAATATACAAAAGATAAATATGAAAGTCGAATAAGAAATACTATTAATTTGGTAAATAAATAATATAAGTATTTTGGATGTTGGCCTTTAGATAGTGCTATTATATATAATTGTTATAATATGCGCGTGTGCACGCTCGTGAAAAAATGTTTTTAGTGGTTACCGAGGTCGATAGTCAATGTGTGACAAAAATGGTTTGTAACCCCGAAGCAGTTGTAGGGGCCCATGATTCGATGATTAAGGCAATTCGGAGTATTATTCAAAGAGATTGGACCGTTCGAATCCAACATGTGTATAAGGAAGCTAACTTCACAGTAGATCATCTGGCGAGCCTGGCGACGTCTTCTCTGATAGGGTTACAGCGAGTCGCTTCCCCTCCGTTGGGAATGAGAACTTGGTTAGAGTTTGGTATTAGTGGGGTGTCATATCCTCGTCGTGTTCTAGTTTAGACTTATGACCTCCGTCATTATACCAAAAAAAAAAAACGATTTTAGTAATATCTTAACCTAGTAATAATATGTAAGGACTAATTCTTCTAACGTTTACTATTAATGATTTGGAAAAAAAAAAAAAAAAAAAAATTACTGGGATTGATCTGATTAATCTTCTTCGAAAAAATACACTCTGAGGTCCGTAATTGACCTCGGTATTGACAAACACCACCAATTGGACCTTTAGATTTGAAATCTTTGTATTTTGGAAAAAATTCGATTCTTATGTTGACGAACACTACAAAATACAAATATTAAGATCATTTAGATCTGAAAATGATCATCTTTATTACGTCATATCAGCACACATCTATATAAATGTGTAATTCAATGATAATAAATTAAAATTTGGACATGCAAAAATCGGAATTCTTTCTTTATTTCACAATAAATAAAGCATTAAAATTTTGACATGTAAAAGTCTGTATTCTTTCTTTATTTATTTATTTATTTTTTTTTGGTGCAAAGAAGGAGGCTACTGCCTAAGGAGAAACCGATCGAGAATATGACACCCCAGCCTGATCATGAAGCACCACATGCCTACTCCTGGTGGAGGACTCGCCAACGCATAAAAGCCGCTCGGTCCCTTGGCCGCCAAAGAAGCCAAAAAGTCCGCCACAAAAATATCGACTCCCGGTAACCATGACGGATCTCCACCTCCCATTGGCGACCCAAAAGCTCTGTAATTCCATTCAAAAGGCCGCCATGAACCCCTGAGTGCGAACCCTGCTGCACCATGTCAACAATACTCTTATTATCGACCTCAACCTGCACCTTACGCGCCCCTATATCCCAAGCCAACCGTACCCCTTGAAACAAACCCCAAAGTTCGGCGCCAATAATAGAGCAGAAGCCGATGTTCATCAAGAAACCATGCACCCAATTACCATAATGATCGCGGATAACGCCACCCGCACTAGCCATCCCCGACGATATATGGCGACGATGCCTCATTGCGTTAGTCATCAAACAGTCCCGAGCTGCTAACCAAAGAAATTGTCGTACCCGCTGAGGGCCTACCCACTTCCATATAAGTGACCAAATCCTATCACCACGGCGCCTCGAAGACGACCCTAAAGCCGAGTAAGCCGACTTGGTGGAAAAACGTCCGTCAGCAGACAGGCCCCAAAACGGAGAGTCCGCACCACCATGCGCAGGCGGCGGCGGTACAACAGAAAACATTATGCATGAAATTAGGTGAATATACCTAACATTACGGGGTAGGTAAAATATTTGACAATTAAAAAGTACTAGTACATACCCCTGTACAACGCGGTGTTGAGTTAAGAAATATATGATAAAAATTATTTATGTTTAGTACCAAACCTAACTCTATAGCAAAAATAATATAAAAACAACATATATAGATTTTCGCCATGTCAACCTCCAAAGCGTGAAGAATCTATTATTTAGGCTCAACATGTTTTGAATTAATATACAGAGAGGGATTATCATATTCATGTTCTTTAAACAATCTATATTTTACACATCACATATCATTAAGTACCTTGATATCGTAATAGGGGCACAAGAAATTAGTAGTTCATAATATTTAAACGAGGATAATTCAAATTTGTAATACAAAACTTTCTTGAGTAAATTCATCCAAACCATGATATTCTTGTGGTCGTTTCGCTTCTCATAGGTTTATGTATGTTTGGTAAACATAACTAGTAATCTAGTTGATGATTGATAAGTTAACTAATAACTTATAAAAGAATTTCGAGTTTATTGATGATATAGTTTATGGGTGATGACTGAAATGTAGCTGACAGGTTAAAAACATTTGATAAAATTAGTCGATAAGTCAATTGAAACAAAAACATCAACGGGTATATCAATTGAATTAAATTTTCCTCCATATAACAGATGTTATTACCTCTTAGATATAATTGCAAATTCTTTTGACTGGTTTGGAAATATTATTATAAATAAGAATATACAAGGTGTATTAATATAATATAGTTAATGTGTTGTAGTAAAAGGGTGAAAATTCTTCTTAAAATTTTTAAGTTTTCATTTGCATTTTGGTGAGATATTTTGCGGGCCAACCAAACCCAACATACTCTTGCCCACTACTTAAAAGCCCACTCCATAGGAATTACCCATCCCTTTAACGCTGACCTTTACCAAGTCCAGACTATAGTCACACTATCCCCAACTTCCCTGTTTATGATCCGTGAACATCTAATTCTAATTAATAAATGTTTATAGAAGTGTACGTAACACTCACATGGACGGGGTCTACTTAATTTTTTTGTGTGGGTCCCACATTGAGTGAGTATTATGGACACCCCTATGTACAATATTGTGTACTTATAACATTACTCTTAATAAATATATGTAGTGTTAAAATTATTTATGTAATTTTATGTTGTTCATGTAGACTAAAAATTTTACCTAAATTATGTGTTTTAAAACTGCATTAAAAAAAAAAAAGTACCAACTCAATTTCTAAATGGTTAAATACACTTCAGCTCAATAGTTTGTTTATTTGTTATATATTTTTAATATATGATTCATCAAATTATTTATCCATATTAGTTTAAAATGAATTTATCCACCAATGAAAACTATTATAATATTATTGTGGCCCTTTCAACACACAAGTGTAATTTTAATATGAATAATAATATTTTTTTAATAATTATTTAAAATTTATATAGTATAAACATTTGAAAAAAAAAAAAAATTATCCATAACTTTTTAATTCGAGGCACTCACAATTCACAAATACCATCTGAAAAAGTTAATCCCCTCCTCAATAACACCCTAAAAAATCCCAAAAACAGAACCCCTTATATGAAAACCACAATCATTCAAAAAAATAAAAAAAAAATAAAAATAAAAATCAAAATAAACATTACAATTCCAAATCTCATCCTCCATGCACAATAATACCCAGTGCTCATTACAACCCTAAGATGAGAACCTCATTGAACCATAATTACTTAGTTCCCTTTACACTCCAATCACAAAATCCGAACGCAAAAGGCAAAAGTCGAAAAAACGAACCGTACTCCCTTCTTCCTCTTGGCTCACGAAGAACAACAGCCGCCTTTCTTCATATCCGACACGTCCTTAGTCACATCAATCTTCTCGCCTTTGGAAGGGACACCTGGCGCATCCTCATTGGCTCCCGTGTCCATCGTCTTCCTGCTCACAGTGTGGTGTATTTGGGTTAGAACCTCGGTAAACGCATTGTCCACGTTCGTGGAGTCGAGAGCGGAGGTCTCCATGAAGTAGAGCGATTCGCGCTCGGCAAAAGAGGTCCCGTCGTCAGTCGAGACAGCCACGAGGTGGCGGAGGTCGGATTTGTTGCCGACGAGCATCACAACCGTGCTCGGGTCCGTGTGGTCTCGCAGCTCTTTGAGCCACCGCTCGACGCTCTCGAACGTCGAGTGCCTCGTCACGTCGTACACGAGGAGAGCGCCCACGGCCCCGCGGTAGTACGCGCTCGTGATGGCTCGATACCTAGGGGCAAAAATTGGAAACAAAATTGTCGAGCATGAAGAAGTGAAATTGGAAAATGGTTTAGAAAAAAAGGAATGAATCTTGTAAGGCTATGTTTGGTAAACCCAGTATAGAAGCTAGCTTATAGTTTTTATGTGAATATCGAGCTTATAGCTGATAGCTTATGATGATGTATGGCTAAAAAACTAGCTTATATGAAAAAAATATTTGGTAAAATTAGCTGATAAGCTAGCTGAAATAAAAATTTCAACGGACTCATTTGAAAAGCTACTCAATGAAGTATTTTAAAAAAAGCTCGTCCTACCAAACCAAACTTACTTGAATACAGAAAACTTATAAGCTAACCAGATAAGCTATAAGTTAAAAGTTATTTGTTTCCAAATTTTGGTTTAGAGCATTTCATTATAGACCGATCGTAAAAGGCAATCAGTGGCCAAAATTTCAACTCTAATAAAAATGTCACTTATGGCTGCAGGTATCCTTGAAAGAGTTAATAATAAATCAGCTTATTCTTTGTGCACAAGAACACTGATTACCCTCTTAGGTACACAACAGTAAAGCTTTACAAGCACAGAGGATTATGGGATTAACAGCCAGGAAACTATATTTTCCAACATTTATTCATGATATCAGCCAATAATAGTAAAGGACCAATGTAAATGTTGTAAAGACAAGTAAAACAGCAAGTCATAACTCAAGACTAACTAATATGTCCTCAACCAAATATCTATATATGCAGTTCGCAAATGTTAGTGTATGATCACGAGGCACAAAACAGTAAAACGCAACATAAACTGAAATTTTAAAATGTTGATTAAATTGGCTAACAATGTAAAACCACATACAAATAAGCACACAACGGCAACATAATCGAGTGCCACCTGGCTCATGCATTTTTAGTACGAGCATAAGTTCGAAATTGTGTGAACTTAACAGTACCAGAATAAAATGTTCATTCGTCAATACTGTTAAAATCTTATACCCTCATAAGATCACTCGACAAGATTTGAGTCCAACTGAAAGATTATTCAATAACAATACATGATTCTGTTCTTTATAGCAGAAAAGCCATTATTCTCAATCTGCCTCTGATCCAGAATTATAGGAGATATTATTAAGATCTTTCTTTTTCGGGAAATGTTAAAGTCCCGTTACGGAACCAACCCGTCGGGGTTTGTAACCGTTAGATCATCATGTAACCGTCAATGATAGTTGATCTAACGGTTACAAACCCCGACGGAATGGTTCCGTAAGGGGACCGTAGCATCTTCCCTTTCTTTTCTGTAATCTGTCAAACAATATGTCTCACTGTACAAATCAAGATCACTAATTCACTTTAAACCAAACCATAAACCCTCATTATTGCATCAAGCAGCTTTCAGATCTATTCTAAGTTCAAACCCCTCAATCAATTCTTGCACAAAAAAAATCTCACAAAACCAACTGTCAGATCCATTTCGTCATCAAAACATAAACTCATCAACTAAACCAAGCAGCTGAACCCAAAACGGAGGAAAAGCAGCAGATCGAATAACTACAAAAGCGATTTACGAAAATGTCACCTCTCCTGGCCGGCGGTGTCCCAAATCTGAGCCTTGATGACTTTCCCGTCGACGGTCAAGCTCCTGGTCGCAAACTCAACGCCAATGGTGGATTTGGACTCGAGGCTGAACTCGTTCCTGGTGAACCGCGAGAGCAAGTTGGATTTGCCCACGCCGGAGTCCCCTATCAGAACCACTTTGAAGAGATAGTCGTAGTCATCTTCTGCTCTGTAACCCGCCATTAATCTACAGATTCTGAAGGAAAATCTCCTCAGAGAATGTAGAGCTGCTGGGATTTCAAAAGAAAAAGTGAAATTTGAAAGAAGTAAACGTAAGATCTTGTTATTCCCCTTGTTTTCTGCAAATGGGACTGCAAAAAGGTTACGTTTGTTATAAAATACGGGGAATATAAAGAACACAATGTATAAAACCCGGATAGAGATTAT